CTAGCCAGAGCATCTTATTTCACAGATGACCTCATCAATGGGTAGAGGCATTTGTAGATACTGAAGTTGAGAAACAAAGAATTATCTGATGTTATTTTCCTTTAAAGCTTGCTTTATTGCACTGAATAAGAAGACAAAAGAAAAATCTGATTCAGGTAACAGCATCTGCTCATCCCTGCTGGGAAAGACTGAAGCCTGAAAGGTATCAGGCAATTTAAGGAAAAATATACCTGCAGACTGTCAACAGGAACAGAGAACTTCACACCGAAGGCAGCCCAAGTTAACCAGTTTGTAAGACATTTCCCAAGGCTTTAAAGAGGCTGGGAAGGCTAGGACCAGAACTGAGACATCCTCTTATACATGGAAGTATGGCACCAGCCCAAGGGACCCAGAGGAGGTACAGGGGAGGATCCCAGCAACTCCTTTGCTGCCCACACCTGGGTTACCAGCACTCTTCATCCTAAATCACCAGAGAATGAGGGGTACTTGAGAGCAGCACACTGAAAGACCCTATAGGCTTTTTTTTTAATCAGACTTGCTAGAAGCAGGTGTTACTGCTTATTTAGCAAACTGGGGTGAGGTGGCCCTTGCCCTTGATGGGCTCCTCAAAGCTGTTAGCTGCAGGCCAATAGAGCCATAACTCCATTACAGATCATCACAGGAGATTCTCCAGCTGGTGACTCTTGCTGTTTCAACATTTTGACCTCACTGGCATATGGGTGCTATTTACACTATAGAAAAGCTCCCCCCAAAAGTAGTAAGTATAATTTTGCAAAAGTGAGACTCAGTTCTTCTGAATCTCACAAAAAAGAAGGAAGGTGAAGGAAGAAATACAGAGAGATAAGACAGCTCTCCTTTATTCACATCTCTAGGGAACATTGGTCCTGACAAAACTTGTCCACAAAGGTCAGTTACAGAGGGCAATAGGGTACACCTACCAGTCTCCCATCTTTAGATAAAACTCAAATGTTTGAAAGGCTCAAGGCACAAAAAGCTCATGGAAGAGAGTTAGGGAGATTCAGTTCACAGGCAGACATAATTTAGATGAAACCCTACTTAACTGGATAGCCAATATGCACTAAATACCATACTGCTGAGAATAAAAAAATGTCATTTCAAGGAATCAGTTACTGGTTCACAATAGTGCTATTTCACCTTTTGAAAAAACATGTAATTAATTACATTTAGTTGCTTGTATTATATTTCAAAGCTAATCTCACTTTCATTATATAACTCTTGCATATGGAGTTACAACATGTTTGACACAATGTTCTGTTACTGCAAGTAATAGATGTATTCAAACAAATTTAACTTAAAGAACTCATTTAAGTAATTTGCAACTTTCTCTTGATCATACCTGTTCAGGCTCACCCCCATCTAATACCATAGCCTTCAGCTTTAGTAAGTCAAACACTAAGAAAAAAGCCCATGTAGCTACAACCTGTAACCTACAAACCCTATTGTACCATGCTAAAGCAGATAATGTGCCATATTATCTATCCTTACATGAAGTGCTACAAGCAGCTCACCCAGAACCCCTTAAGAAAAAAGGGAATGTAAGTGATACACAGGGAACTGCATACCCTGCACTCACCCCCTCCTGGAGCACTGGCTTTAGCTGCTCTCCTCCATCACTCCACTCCCTGAGGCACAGGCTCCAGCTTCCACCTGCCTCCTTTTGTCTCCTTGGGCTTGATTGATAATCCAGATCAGCTGCCTTCCCTAAGAGACAGCACCAGAAGCTCAGCAGGAGAAAGGCTGCAGCCACAGGCAGGGAAAAAACAAAAAACAAACAAACCAAAAAAAAAACCAAACCACAAAACCAAACAGGCAGCCTTCCACATGCTATTTGTGCTGCACTCCCATCACGTATCATATCCCCTTCCAGCAGCGATGGGTTCCCCAGCTGAACCAAAACTGTAAGCCTCTTCCTGATGAACATACAATGCCAACTTGCTAAACTAGGTTAAAATAACCTGAACTTTAGCACGCTGCATAAAGAGGTAGTTAACTTATAAACCGAACTCAATTTCCTAAGCAGAACCGTACAGACTTGCTATTGAGCAGCGGTGGGAGGCAATGGCATACAAGGAACCAGTGTTTTTGTCCTCATAGTCAACTGACTAGACGCTTTTTGACTGGGCTAATCTTGGTGAAAAAGTGGAAAAAGATGGAAAGCCTTACTTCCTTGCTTCTGGCTCCACAGCAGAATGTTTTGCTATGATTAAGTACACCTGTACTTGAAGGATCCAGGATGACATAATGGCTTCCATGGGAATCACAGTGCTCCATCTACAGTGAACTGTACTTTTGAACCCTGGTACTAAGAGGTCCCCCTAGGACAGCAAGTCTTGTTTCTCCATAAAGGTACAGAGCAGTCCATAGGATCATGGCCCTGTCAGCTCTTTTTTTTCATCAATCTTTTCTTCCCATTGGAAAAGCAGTGACTTCTCTTGTGCAAAACATGGTGACACTGTAACAGTGCATGGATGTGCTTCAGAGGAGTGCAGAGTACAAGGCTCTGTAGAAGCCCTCAGTGAAGGAACCGTGCTGGATGGAGCTGGGGTGGGGGTTTGGGTTTGTGGAAATACTTTTGGGGGGAAAGAAATACTTTAATGTTGCTTAATCCAGGGAAAAATGGGCCAGAACAATCAGCGTTGAGATGATGCTGTGGAAAGGTGGTGGTGGGTAGGCAGCAGCACACTACCCTCCTCATTCCTACTGCAGCCCCACTCAATGACTGTGTGAGCCCTGCTAAGGACCATAAAATCCAGGGGACCCCCCCACCCAAAGACAAAATCAGCAGCCCAGAGCATCCCTGCCTGATCACCTGAAGACTGTTGAAGTGGCTTGTCCCTTCCTCCAGACTGCCCTCAACTTTAGACAACCATCAATGGCACTTGCTGAACTCTGAAGGCTGCCCTGGCCCTGGGACCACCAGCTCCATTAGCCATTAGGCCACCCGGCCACAGAGCCAACTGAGCAGCTAACAGCAGCAGGAGAGAGCGCAGATTACCCCGCAGCACACTCACGGATTATCACAGCCTACAGGATCTCAGATTAAAAATAAAGACTGTTCCTCCAGAGGAAGCGGAGCACACAGCTTTCCGTGTTGACCTTGGTCCAGCGAGGGGCTGTGCGCGAGGGGGAGCGGGTGGCCGGCCGCTCTCCAGCCCAGACAATGACAGAGCAGAATTGCTGCTCGCAGCCTGAGCACACAGACCGCACTTATACTTTGCAATGCTATTAGCACAGATTCCTCTCTCCACTACCACTTTTTTTTATTTTTTTATTTTGCAAACCTTTGTGGAACAGACGCCCTCTCCTTGCCCCAGTTGGAGCTGCAGTAGAATGAAAAGGGGGGTGGGAAGGAGGGAGGAGAGGACGGGAAAAAAAACCCGCTTTTGGTTGAGGTTTTCCTGTTACTATCACTGTAACGTTTATTTAGCCAATCTCCTAACTATGACGTGAGGAAGGCAGGAATCATGGCTCGCTCATAATATTTAACACACCCACTGAAAGCTGGAGCTGCAGAGCTACTAGTCCAACCAGTCTCCAGAATTCAGTGTAGCTGAAAGAGGTTTTCACTCTGCACCTGCCAAAGATCTCTCCCCCCTCTTCCCTTCTCTCCCCCCTTCTCTCTTCCTTTTTCTCTCTCTCTAAAAGGCAGATCTGTAAGACCCAGCAGAGATCAAAGACGGGACCTCTTTGCTAAAAGAACCTCTACTGATTTATATTAGTTTCTTTCCTCTAATCCTTCCTCCTCCCCCCCTTTTTTTTCCTGTGCCATATTTAACCTTTATGTTGCAGTTGTGCCATCAGACAGTTTTGCAGCCAAAAAAAACCAACCCAAGCCAAAGAAAAAGCTCAGCTCGGATACAGCAGCCACCCAGACTTGATCTCAGTTGAACATATTAATCTCTCCCAAGCACTGGACGCAATGGATGAAGAAACTGGAACCTCTTAAACAGTCTCAGAGAAGAGAGGGAGCAAGAGCGAGCGGGAGAGCGCTTCTGCTGCATCACTGGTCAAATTCAAAGGAAGGGAGTCAGCGTTTCCAGCACAGCCAAATATTATGGATGATTTTTTTTCTTCTGTCGCCTTTCCACACAGGTTTTCTTAATATTATTCTTCCCCCCTCCTCCTCCCTGTCTTTTCCTTTTTTTTTTTTTTTTTAATTTCATTTAATCAGAGCTAGTGTCTGATGCCGGTTTCTCTTCAAGAACCAGTTTTCCCTATTTGTTGTGATCCCTGTAATAAAAAGAGAGAGAAATCGTGAACAGATGGCTTTATACGTTGCAATGCCGCTGGCATTGTTTCCCTATTGGTTTTAAAGACTCGGGCCGGTGCTCCTTTTTAAAATTTTTTTCCTTTTATTTTATTTTTTTTTTCCCTCCCCCTCCTAAGTTCTTGATGATACTGAGAAATGAGGACCTATTGTTTTTAGCCTGCTTATTTCTCGGCGCCTATGGAGATAACTTTATTGACTTGATCGCTCGCTTCCCGATCCGAAAGGAGAAAGCCAAAGCTCCGGGGGGGGGGTGGAAGAC